ATTATTATTGGGATGAATCAATTTATTGGAGCTCTGCACAGGGTAGCTGAAATTTTGTCTGATGAACTCCTCCTGTTGGTCAGGAATGAATAAGAGGAGGCTAACACTGTTGAGTTCTTGAAGGACCAGCTCATTCTTATCCAGAGGAATGTTCAGGAAACAAGAAATAAATCTTGCTGTGCTGAAAAGTCACCAAAAAAAATGCAAGAGTAAAACTCAATTAATCAGATGCAGGCCTTGAATTGGGCTAGAAATTGAGATGTAGTTAATCAATTTTTATACTTAAAGGCTGAGCATAAAGAAAGAAAAATTAAAATGTTAGCTTTCTGCCCAACAGTCAAGCCATTGTAGCATGGTTTGGTTGTTCTCCATCAGAGAAAACCTATGTTCTGTACAAAAGAAAGCACTTTACTTGTGCTTCACCAGTATTTATTGGTTCTGCCTATTGGAATACTGGAGAAGTGCACGTCAGGACATATGGAAAATACACATTGTATGACATGGAGCTGCATCATTGCAATTCTGACTCTACACTTTGTTTATCCAGATCTTTAGCAATATTAAACAACTCCACAACACCAGAACTAAAGGGACTAGCACTAAGTTGGAGAGAGTAGCTATGATAGATCTCATTTTTTTTTGAACATTGATATATTTTTAATCTGGAATGTGGAAAAAAAAAGTATTGGTATAAAATTTACCTTTCCTTGGACCACTTTTGCTCAGGATTCATGCCTTCAAACCTGATAGTACTTTCTAAACTTGTTTTACATAAGCTGCTATTATAATTGGCAAACAAACAGGTTTTCCTTCTGTTAGGCTGGCTGAAAGTTTGCACAGGTAAAAGATGATATGATGATGCAAAATTTCAGATTCACCACACAATATTCTACATTCTATCTTCTTCTTCCCCTGTAAATTTCACTATCTCATTACTTCTTGACATATAAAATGCTCTGATTTAACAATCTTAATCATTACAAGAAATAGATGCTGTATTGGGTGAGAGGGCGATCAAAATAATTCAAGACTGTGCAAGGACAGATGGACTAAATTTCATTTTGTGAAAGGAACCTTCAATGTAAGTTGTTGTTGATTTGCCTCCTTGTATGTTGTAAGCTTCTAAAGTTCTTTGCACTCCAGAATTTGTCATTTCTCTGCTGACGCTTAAATATTAACTCTGAAAGTGTATGAAAGTAGTACTAAAAGGACAAAGTTACAATAATAATTAAGTAATAATCCACTAATTAAGTTTGAACATCTAGTTCCTATTTTTACCATGCCAGTGATGCTTCTTTGCCAGTTCCTGAACAGCTTGCAGACGTACTGCTTTAACTGCAGACTGAGTCTGTTTTAGAAGAAGCCACAAATCAGAATCATGGTCTTCCACGTCCTGTCTCAAGTAACGCTCTATAAAAACAAAAAAATACTATGTCATATAAAGCATTTTAATGGGTCACTTACATGCTTATAAACATAATCTGTGACTCATTAATGTTTCTTTTTCTATGCAAAAATCAAATATTGGAGCAAGGCAACTTGTACAATGAAAACAACAGTGAGTGAGTCAACTCATCCTACAGAGTGACAGTTAGAATGTAACTCAAAGACATCAATTAATCTCAGAATTCTGCCCAAGAAGCAAGGAAATAGCTTAAAGACTATGACAATAAAATCAAAATCACTTTATTCAAGGAGAAGAATGATAGCAGAGAACAAAACACACCTGATTCAAATAAAAATCAAACTGAACTGCACATTATGATCTCAGCTGATGCTAATACTGAACAAGTTAGACCCCAGAGTGAACCGGTCTCTTGTGGCACAGTTGTAGTGTCTCGAAGACAGGATACCAGAGTTCAAATCCCACCTGCTTCAAAAGGTGTGTCATCACATTTGAGCAGGTAAATTAAAAAATAACCACAAATTTAAACCAGACTTGATATTTACTGTAGAGATTATACACTTGACACATTCACAAGAGGTTATTTTTTAAAGCACAGCAAAGATGTTCATTACAAAAAATGAAAAAAAACTATAACACACTATAGAAAAACTATTCAAATTATCTCATTACAAATATCAGAAAAACAATTCCTTTACCCAGCAATAAGCTTACAGATGCTCAAACCTCAGTGAAGAGTCCTCCTATCTACCCACGAAAGATGGCACAACTGTTTTCCTTTTGGCAAATTTCTGCTGTGCATTACTTGCTATTATTTTCTTTAGTTAATGTGTGTCTCCCAGGGACACTTAAAACTAAACCACTAACACAGCTCTCAGAATATTCAAAATGGGTTCCTTACACTCGTCATTAAAAAGCATAGACACAGAAACTAGGAACAGGAGTAGGTTATTCAGCTTTTTGAACGTGCTCTGTTATTTAGTACGATCATAGCTTTATCTCAAAGCCTATTCCCGCTTTCTTCACATGATCTTTGATTCCCTTAATATCTAAAAACTTATCTATCATTTACGTGAATATCCTTAGCGACCCAGCTTTCACAGCCTTCTGTAGTAGCAGATTCCATAGGCTGACCACCCTTTCTGTGAAGAAATAATTCATTTCAGCCCTAACCTGGCTGATGTATTGAAATTGGGACCCTTGGTTCTAGACTCCCCAACCATGGGAAAATCTCCCTCCATCCAGTCTGTCCAGCGCTACTAGACTTTTACATGTTTCAATCAGATCCCCTCTCCTTCTGGTGTACAGAGACCCAGTCGAACCGGTCTCTCCTCACAGGTCAGTTCTGCCACCCTGAGCATCAGGCTAGTGAACCTTCACTAGTCTCACTCTGCGGCAAGAATATCTTTCCTTAGGTCGAAAGACCATAACTCTGTACAACTGCAGTAAGGCATCCCCTACTTCAGAACTCAAATCCTCTTGCAATGAAGGCCAATATTCCTTTTGCCTTCCTAATCACTTGCTACACCTGCCTGTTTATTTTCATTGACTGGTGCACAAGGACACCTAGATCCATTTGACCATTCACATTTCCCAATATATCACCCTATAAATAATATTGTGCCTTTCAGTTTTTCACATTTATCCACTTGATACTGCATCTGCCATGTGCTTGCCAAATCACTCTTTGTCTAGATCACCCTAAAGCCTCTTTACATCCTCCTCAAAACTCTCAATCCCACTTACTTTTGTGTCATCAGCAAACCAGGAAATATTGCATTTGGTTCCCTGATCCAAATTATTTTTGTACATTGTGAATAGCTGGGCTAAGCACTGATCCCTGCAGTACAGCACTAATCATCACTTCCAATCCAGAAAAAGACCAATTTATTCCCATACACTGGCTGACAGACAAGAAACAATCACAATCCATACCAATATATTAACTCCAATGCCCTGTGTTTAAATTTTGTCCACTGGCCTCTTTAGGTTTGACTTTATCAAAACCTTTCTTGATACCTAAATACACCACAACCACCGGTTCTTGTTTATCTAATGCAATAGACATATCCTCAAAAAACTCTAGAAGATTAGTTTATCATGAGTTCCCTTTTATAATTCCATGCGAACTTTGTCTAATAAGGTTAATGCTTTCAAAATGCTGTTAATCACATCTTTTCCTAGCATTTTCCTCATTACGTAAGGTGAACTAGTCTGTAGTTCTCACACCCTCCTTTTTTTTAAAAAGAGTGGGCTTACATTTGGCATCCTCCAATCCGTAGGGACTGATCAAGAATCTATAGGATTTTGGAAGATAACTGTCAATGCACCCAATATTTCTAGGGACACCTCCTTTCGTACTTTGAGAAGCAGAATATCAGGCCTGTGGGATTTGTCAGCCTTTAACTGTGTTAATTTCCCTAGCACTTTTTTTTAAACAAAACAGATTTTTTTCAATTCTTCCCTCTCACTAGACCCTTGTTTTCTGGGAAATTATTTGTGTCCTCTTTTGTGAAGACAGAACCATAATGTGTATCCAATTCTGTATTTCTTTGTTCCCCATTATAACTTGCTGTCTATTTCTGATGATAAGGGACCTACATTTGTCTTCAGTAACCCTTTTCTCTTCATATTTCATAGAAGATTTTGCAGTCAGTTTATATATTCCTTGTAAGTTTGCTCTTATGTGCTATTTTCCCTCTCCCAATCAATCTTTTTGTCCACTTTTGCTGAATTCTAAACTGCTCCCAGTCCTCTGGCTTGCTGCTTTTTCTAGCAATTTTATATGTCTCGTCTGGATGTAATACTGCGCCTAATTTCTTTCATAAGCCATGGTACAGCCACCTTTCGTGTTTTATTTTTGCGCAAAATAGGAATGAATACTTTGTTTCTTAAATATAGCCACTGTTAATCCACTGCCAAGCCTTGTCATTAGGTTTCCCAGTCCATCATTACCAACTTAGGCCTCATAACCTTGTAGTCCCTTTTATTTAAAATTCAGTGTTTTCAACAGCCTTTGTGATAAGGTTGACAATTTCACTGTCTTCTACTTGTGGAGCTGTCTTCCCACTGTCTTGTAAGCAATTCAGAACTGCTCCCCAGCCCTGACTGCTTAGAGACTAATAACAGAACCATTACTATAACGGGTGATTTCTCTCTGAATGAATATTCTTCTGCACTGCCCCTCCCCATCCCGCCAACCCCAACCGCTGTCCATGGGTTGTAAAACTCAAGTCAAATACCTTTGCAATCACAAGGGGGCTTGCTCATCATGTATCATAAATCAGATAATTTCTTGGAAGTACTCTTTCAAACTCACTGTTCAAAGTTCCTTTTTGACCTTACAAAACAAAGCACACTTTCACTGAGCTGAAAATTAAAATCCACTTCTCCTCTACCTTAGAACCCAACTTCCCAAATAACCATATATTATCAAAGTTCATCATAAAGTGCAGCATAATTCTTCAAGACATTTTTTAATGCAAGTTTTCTAAAATAACGTTTTGAGATACAATACGTAAATAATTTAGGCCTTGGTATATGGTCAGTACAATATATTTGGTAGGAAACGAATTAGTTTGGACATACATGGTTAGATTTTCCAGATTGCAATGGCAGTCCAACATTGGGTCTAATTCCAGGTTCTAAAGCCTCTGGAGGCTGGAGTGTATTGAACCTCATATTTTAGTGAAGCCCACCAGTTAATGGATAGTTTAATGATATCCAACCAATGATGGAAAAGCACAGCAAGCCGGAGATTTGAGATCCATTTAAATAGTTCTCATCTGTATTTAAAGGCAGAAAATCAGCTGTGAAGAAAGAGTGATGTGGCAGTCTGCCACGGTAGGTCAACTCCATGGTTCACCAATGCCTTCCTGGCATCATGGCAGAGTGTGTATTTTGTTTCTAAAGAGTGGCAAGCGGTCATGTGCCAGATAAACAAAGGGAGGCATGGCTGAAGGTCATCAAAAAGATCAACAGCAATAATGTGGTTAGCTGAGGATGAGCCTGATTCAAGAAGCATTTCTAGAAGTTTGTGCATCATGGCAAAGTAGGTATGAAGCAATTCTAAGCTGTCAGCTCTGAGCATCTTACAGGGGGGCACATCCCAAAGCAGGAGGACCTCAGGGCAGGTGGTGATTAGGGAAAGCAAGAAGATTGCCATTGCCAATTCTCAAGTAGGTAAGAAATCAAAACGATGTAAAATGCAACAAGATAATAATAAGAGTTTGCTGAACGAACAAATAATATCTGCGAGAGCAGACATTCAGGAGTTGGCATGGTAAAATGTGGTTATGCTGGCACACGTGCAGGAGGGCTACCTCGATATTGGCAGGGTTGTCCAATGGCAGGTTTCTGGCAACAATGAGATTGGTGTGTGACAGAGAGAGCTTGTAAATTTTACTGAATACTCCATGGGAGATCCTTAGAACAGCTTCCGCCTCTGCAAAGTCACTTCCAGCAGATGCCATTTGATGTGGTAAAAAATAACAAACCATTCATGAAAATGAAGGAGCTGATATAACTCTTCCCTCTTGCATTGGATGGGTGCCAGAGGACCAGCAGCTAATAGTGGAAACCAAGGCAGAGGACAACTTGCACTAGAATTAAACACACCCACGAACAATGCAAATACACACATCTCACTGACGCCTCAGATAACTTTAAGCCAAGTGCCACTGTGGACAGAACCTGTCAGGGATGGAAGGCAACTCCAGCCATTTTGATTTGGCCAGATACGCAGAGTCCAAGTATAAAGTAGGTCTAAATTTTTCTGTTGACCTTTCGTTTGAGGTAGTGCCTCCCAGTCACTAGGTCCTGCCTGCATGCAAAATTTGAGACTGTCATTTAACCAAGTACACTATAGAATACTGGTTGCATCATAAATGCTGAACCACATGAGAAATGTCTATGACACTGTACCATGGAGACGGGCCACTTTGCAAAATAGACAGTCTGATGTGGACCTTCCAGTGCAGATTGTCATGGATCAGGGCACCCAGGC